CTATTACTTGTTTCAGGGAAGTAGAGAGGGGAAGATTCACCTCCAAGCAAGAAGCTGTAATGCTGCATCCATCCTATCTGCCCTGGCTCTCCGGAGCATTCCCAGGCTTTTTTCTTTCCATGCTCCAGTGGAGTCTAATCCTGCATGCAGAAAATTCCTCATGCTTTTTGCTCTTATTCCTCCAGGGTATCTGTTTTCTCTTCCATTCTGTCTGGCTGTTCAACAGCCTGAACTCAGTTACTCTAATCCCTCCATCTTCAGTGATGTTCTCAGCTCCACATAATAAATATTAACAGCTTACATGTATCTTGGGGTTCTTATGCAAGGACTCCAAATAGCTTTATGGTTCATATGCACACGGGGCTCACTTTATTCGCCAGCAAAATACAGCCACCGATGAGACAGCAGTTGTTTAGCAACCTACAGCGACAACACACAATAGTTAAGACGGGAAGTGAAGATAAATATCATATCCATTTGAAACTCCAGGAGGGGATTGGAGTTGGCAGAATAAAAGTACTCGTGCTGAATTTTAGCCAGAATACTCCAAAATAGCATTCCTTTGCTTACAGAAAGAGCAATAGGATTTAAAATACCTAACCCATCCCTGGTGGTTTATTTGCAACTCACAGTAACAGCACTGACATTTTAGGATGCCAGCAATGCTCTTAACCAAAGAAATGCAATTCACTTGAGTAATGAACTATACAGGATTACTCTAAAGCCCTTCCTCAGAATTTTTAGGAAAGGAAAAAACAGACTATTATACATAAATACCTATTAGCCATCAAATAAAAAAATATTTATATATTTTAGGCAGCACCTTTCAACTATTGCTATCTCTCCACCCTGCAACAACAGGAGGCCAACTATGGCATTTTTTTCAATGGTGCCACAAACTCTTGTATCTCCTAACATTCTCCAAACCTTAACGTGGAAGGGAAAAAAAGAAAAGGAGAGGAGGGAGGACACATTCCTTTCTCTTCAGAGCACAACAGCTGAGGGAGCAGAAACTCTGGTCAAGGATGCTGCATTTCCCTCGCATGGTCCAGGGAGCATTGGTGGCACAGAGCGGCACTCGCTCACCATGTGCCTCTTCCCTATTGGAAAGGCCAGGTGAGCCAAAAGCAACCAAGTGTTAATTAAGAGGTGAATGAATGGGAACAAACCAGCCCATTTTAGCTTTCCATATTGTGGTTGTACTGCTGCCACTCCAAGCAGAGATTTAGCTTGAGCACGTCCCTGTAATTTTTCATCAGCTTTCTTTTCAGCTATTTACGTATATATTATCTGGACAATGAAAATAACTTCGAGCAATCAATTATCTGACATACAAGGGCATGTATTGATAGGACAGAGGCTAATGGCTTTAAACTGGAAGAGGGCAGATTTAAATTAGATATAAGGAAGAAATTCTTCCCTGTGAGGGTGGTGAGGCGCTGGCACAGAGAAGCTGTGGCTGCCCCATCCCTGGCAGTGTTCAAGGCCAGGTTGGACACAGGGGCTTGGAGCAACCTGCTCTAGTGGAAGGTGTCCCTGCCCACGGCAGGGGGTTAGAACTGGGTGAGCTTTAAGGTCCCTTTCAACCCAAACCATTCTGAATCTGTGCTAGTTTCAGCTGATGCCTTAGCTGCTGAAGAAAACCCAAGCCCTGCATGACTTGCCCACAGACCATGTGCCAGAGCTGAGCACTAACTGCTGGCCATCACCCTGCCTGGCTCTCCTTCCGCTATTTAAAGATTTTGTTATAAATGGGTGTGCTGCTTGGCTAATGGAGAGCTTAAAATAAAAACGTGCCCAGTGATCCCTCAGCAGCAGAGATGACCTCAGTTTTAGGTGGCATCGAAGGGCACCCCATGGCTGCAGATCCCCATACCCTAAGACACCCTATGATTTTCCAGGTCTCCCTCTGATGGCTCGTTTCTACCCCAGACTGGGGTGGACATGACCCTGCCAAGCTTTTGTTGGAAACCATGCTTTTCCAGTGCTGCAGAGGCCCCCGCTGCTTGTCCTGTGACCACAAGATGTATGGGTGGCAGAAGGTACAGACAGCTGCCAGTATCTCACCAACACCCACTGAGCCGCCTCCACCAGCACTGGGTGCTCCCCACTGGACTGCTGGAAAGGTCTCTCAAGGGAGAAGCAGGGAGGGACAGAACATCAGGGATGGGAGGGATGATGGGGTGCCTCCTTGTCTCTCGCCTGGGCACCTCTACCTGGTGGGGTGATAACAGGAGCAAAAGCACAAGCCAGGAGAAGGCTTTTGAGGATGGCTTAGGATAGAGATACAGCTTCAGCTCCAGAGCAATGCAAGCCCCACTTCCACACTGAAATCAGCCCTGACATAGCCTCCTCTTTTGGTCAGCTCTTTCTGGAGATCTCGGGGTCAGCAGGGACTCTACAAAGCCTGTTCCAGTCTTTGCTGGGTTTTGTCCACACCCCTGGCGTGCAGTGAGGTGCACATGGCTTCGGTCCTCCCCAAGAGGACATCTCAAGTCTTTGCATCATATTCGTTCCTGCCAAATCTTCAGCACACTGCTTCAGCTTGGCTACCCATTCATGTTTCTGCCTGTGCATGAGCATGAGGATTGGTACCTTCTCCCTGCCTGTGTCACCAGCCACAGACTGAGCACCTCTAACAACCCTCAGCCAGCACCTGAAGCTGGGGGGCTTGTGGAGCATCCCCACCGTTCCTGTTCCAGGGACATGGCTTCTCATTTCTAACCTTGTCTTACATGGGGATAGCTCTTGAAAAATAAGATTAGTTGCCTTTACGGCAGACTTACTCTGCATATCCAGATCTTAATTTGCCAGGTCCTCTCCAGCAGTCTCATGGTGCAGAGCTGCACTGTTTTGCTCTCTTTCTGCCTAGGACCTTATGTTTCGAGTGGTTTTGAATTTCACCACACTGCAAAAAAGCCTTTGCTCTTGTTTCTCCAGATCACTCTGGTTCTGTCCTCTCCCATCCACTCCTTTATTTTAAAGAGGCAGGGGAGAGGAGGTTTTTCCACTGTTGTTACAGCCTGCATCTTCCCATTGCTCCCTAAGGACAGTCTTTAATACCAACATTCGCTTATGAGCCTCCTTCCCTCATACACAACATTCACTTTGTTTCTTTGACCTGGACTCCTAAACCACAGCTTGCATTGCATGTATGGAAAACCTATTTTCCATGTCTTTTTTTCCAGTGACTGTAGAGATACAGCTTAGCATGATCCACCCGCTCCTACCCACTTTATTTTTTTGTAGTTCATAAACTGGTAATTATGCCAAAGAAGTTTGTTTTGAGTGTTCTGCTTTATATAAGTGCATTTGGCAATTCTTAAACTTTTATCTGGAGCATCCACAGGCTGGAATATTTCCCATTGGAACTCTTCTCGGTATAAGTTAGCAAATACCATAGATAAATGGGATAGGGGAATAAGCAAGAATGACTTGTTTATACAGCTATTGAAATCTGTGCCAGGTTAGGGAACACAGAATAGGATTAAATCGCTTCAACTCCATTTCAGTCCATACCAGGCTCACACCATCCTATTAAATAGCCACACAACAAGCTGGAGGAGAGGATAGGTCAAACAACATTTCAGAGTGGTCCTGGACATCAAGGCCAGGCTGAGCTCAGGTACCTGAATTCCCTGCTCCTCACAGGGCAGAGGACATGGGTGAGGGTCTGCCAACCCCTGCCTTGGTCAGCCTTGGGAACAAGGCACCAAACTTCACACAACTCTGCTGCTCTGCACCCCATGGTGCCGCTTCCCTTGCAGAGTTGGAAGGGTCTCAATGGTAGGTGCCTGTGCTGGCATGTTCAGCACACTCAGCCTTCCTGGGAACTACAAGAGGGCAGGGAAACATGAGCCTCTGCCAGCAGCCCAAGAGCCCCACACAATTCACAGGAAACCCCACCGGGTTTTCCTGTGCCAGAGGGAGGTGGAGGGGCAGTGGCAGAGCCACCCCTCTACCTGCAAGGGATCTCTGTTGTGCCTTCTGAGGAAGCAAGCCTTTCTCACTGCTCTGATCCTGCCCACATACTTCTCAGTGAACTCAGATCTTGCCTCGGGGCACTCAGTGCTGTTTGATTTATCCAAAGGGATAAATCTCCATGTGCTCCCTTCTAAGCTGGCACACCAGAAGCACCTTGAACCTGCACGCACAAGTGCTTTGCTACACACTGGCCTCGAAGTAGCATCCTCTGCTACTTCATCCTCATCCCTTCTCCTCCCCAAGGCAACCAGCTTGGAAGCAAAAATATTCCAGGCAGGAACCCAGGCCGCTTCCTTCACTTGCCTTTGCTGCAGTAATCCTTCTAGCCCTCTCTTGGTCTGCCTGGTCCCTTATCACAACTCCCCGCGGAGGCACCGGGCGCTGCGGCCTCCCAGTGTTTGCTGGGGAAAGTCTCCTTCCCTTGGGAGCCAGCTAGGCAGCCGGAGGGGAAGGCTGCAGCGAGAAGAGGCTCCCGGAAGCCTGAACTGAAGAGGAAGATCCTTCAGCTAGCCCAGGCCTCGGCCGACCCGATGCGAAGCCAGCAGACGAAGAGGACCCCTCCTATCCTCGCTGCCCAGTTTAGGCTGCACGTCTGCACCTTCGAGGCAGCCGCATCATTACATAGTTTTCATTCTATCCACCCCTAACTTCTTGCTGTGCTCTACCAGAAGCCTGCACAGCTAAACTGTTAAAAACTCCACCTGTCCCCTGCAACTTTCCAGATGGCCTAGATCAAGGGAAACGTGCATTTCACCTACAAAAACCCAATAATCTGACTGCATAGTTTAACTCCAAGCCATAATCCAGTGCCGAAGCTCAGCAAATAAGTAAACATGGGACAAAGACTTTACCCTTTAAATCACCTGCAGGGGCTCAGGTCACGTCTGCAATAAAAGCTTGCCTTGTGCGAGGTACAAGCCCCTGTTCTGGAGGAGCAGAGGGTTTCACCAGGAAGAGCTGTCACACCCACACACAACTCTGTAAGGAAGAGAGCAAGCCACAGAGGTGCCAACGAGTGTAGCTATAAGTTATTTATTCTGCAAAATAGAGGTATCTTCTATGGAGTTGAACACTGGAATCACAGCATTATGAATCGAGTTGTGGAAACATTATGACAGCTCACACACACGCAGGCACACACATGCACACCTACACACGCACGCACACAGCCTTTGTACAGGCCTCTACTCTTGCATTATCCAGAGGAAGCCCTCTCTGCACCTTTATTTGCATTCAAGACCCCTTTCCCTATTCACAGGGCTCCTGAGGGAATGAGGTTGGTCAGGATTGGGTACCTGGCACAGGCAACACGTGTGGAGAGCGCTGCACGTGCTCCCCAGCCCAGTGTTCAGCATATCCTGGATAGGAGTTAACTCTCAGCAGAACACAGCCCTCAGTGGAGCGCTCCCAGTCTTGCCTCAGTCTTTGCTTGCACAGCTGAGCGCAGGGTGGCTGAAGGAGGCAGATTTCCACCTTAGGACACAGTCAGTGCTCCCTGCTCGCCATGGTCCATGTTCCAAAGCCGGTAAAACTCTGCAAAATCCACATAGGGCTCCACACGCCCATCTTCATCTGGCTGGAGGGAGTGGGTAGGCCGGGAGCGGAAGAGACCCCCATCTGAACTTGAGCTGCTACTCTGCGTGTGAGTATTAGTTGACTGGAGAGTCACAGTTGGGCTTTGGCTATGGAGAGAGAGAGAGAGAACACAAGCATCTTTATTTTCTCCATCTAATGCTTTGGACAAGAAAAGAATGAGAACAAGTGCCAACTTCTTCACAGATCAAACTATCCTTAGCAAACTGCAACTTTTTAGCTGTCTCTTGCTCTATCAGAGCACTAGGAGCGTTGAGAACTGCTTGGAATAGATAAACACCAAAAAACATCCAATTCACATTTAAGTGGAAGGCCTTAAGTACAACCAGGCATCCAGGGAACAGAGGACAGGCAGCAGGAAAAATAACTGGAGGGAAGAAGGGGGAAAGAGGCATGCACTCTGCTGGCCTCCCCATACCCATACAGTGTGAGCTTTACGGGAAGAGTCTGGCAGCAAGAAAAGCTATTCTTGCGTGACCTGTGTTGCAGCCAAAGCAGCTCTGGTGCGTCAGCCTCATTGTTTCTGGAGCTACCAGAACACAATAACCAGAGGGCTTCTTCACTTTGCAGCATGTACACACACCACTCTGTGCCAAAGGCTGAACCTAAACCACAACTGCTAACTAGCAAGATTCTGCAAAGTGGACCCAAACAGAATCCAGTTCTAACCTTTATCCTTTTTATCTACCCTGGCCTCTGCCTGTGAGCAAGCCAACTTGTGCAGTGCAGCCTCTCCAGCAGCCTTACAGTTGACCTGCATAGCCCCTCTTCCTTATTAAAATGGAGGGCACCCACACTCTCTCCATGCAGAGCATCCAGCACAGCACGCAAGATCCATGGAGAAGGGCTGCTTGCTGTCAGAGTGCCCTCCACGAACAGCAGAAAATGATGCTCCCAAGGCATGCTGCCAGAGCTGGCTTCAGAGCTGCTCGCTTTACTCATTCCCACTCCTCACACAACTGCTTTCCAGCTAACACGTTCTGCTGGCTGTCAATACTGCAGCCAGGAGGGCCACCCTCCAGATAAGGGTATGATTGACAGGTAACTGACAGGTCTCTCTGCTTTTCAACCACTTTACATGGTGTGAGGTACTGGGAAAAACTGCAGGTAGCAAAAGAGAAAGACTTTTACTTAGTGAGGGTGGGGGTCGCTTCATCCAGCGTTGAGCTGCTGTGGGCACCATTCACCATCTGGCCTTGGGAAGGCATGACAAGAGACAGTGTGACACTTGTCTTGCTTGTGCTTTGGGAGCTGGAATATGGCACAGAGACTGGGTAGACACGGCCTCCTAAGAAGAGAGAAAGAGTTATAAAATGAGGTTGAGATATGAACAACTGGGGATTCAAATGGCAAAGAAAAGCCAAAGAACCCAAGAATTTATATTAAGCTGCCTTTCTTAGATGCTGTACTGTATTCTGTCAAATTGTCACCGACTAGGTCTCAGAAGCCAATAATCCCTTTAGTAAGAAAATTCCTTATACACAGAGTATCTCCTCTCCTGATGTTAGGTTAGTGCTGGATCGATCAAAAGACCCTATCTTCTACCCTCCATTTTGCTCCATTCTCTCCCCAACATACCTTGCGTTGGTGTCAGTGTGGGCTGGCTCATCTCACCCAGGGGGTACCCAAAATTCCTCACAAGCAGCGTCATGTCTTCATGCCGGGGACAGAACTTGGACCGTTCCCCACCACTGGCAAAAGTGTCACAGTGGATCCTCTTAACCCGGTCCACTACTGCTTGTGCCACAGCATCCAGTGATGTCTGCTTGGCAAACTCTGTGGCTATCATGGCTGCAATCTCCTGAGCACAGAAGATTAAAAAAAAAAACAAAAAAAAACAAAAAAAAACAAAAAAAAAAAAAAAAACAAACCAAAACCAAGAGGAAGGATGTTTAAGATATTTTGCAGGAAACCTTTTCCTGCCAGCTTATCTAAGAGTTTTTATGGCAACTCATATGACTGAGATGCTTCCCAATCTCTCCTGCTGGTATGCGCCCTTGTGCCTTGAATCATCCCATTCCCTTTAAGGACCACTCCTATGGGACAGGCAGCTGCCCAGAAGAAATGGCTTGGCAAAGCAGCTCCATATTATTACAGACTGGAACGGGATGGCACACAGGTGTTCAACCTGGCCAGCACTCACAGGGCAGATGAGGAGCAAGGTGTGTACAAGAGCAGCTGACACCACTGGAGCAAGTCCAGAGCCAAGGGAATGTTTCCCAGGCTCACCTGGTTGGCCTGCCCAGGCCCATGAGCTGCCTCCAGTGCCTTGTAGAGCCCTTCAGACATGAGCACCAAGAAGCCAGTCACTCCATCCAGCGAATGCCCTCCATGGATTTCAGGCTCTGCTATGATGGGCTTTGATTTAGCAGCACTGGAAAGAGACGGTGTTATTTAGTATTTAATGGTAACATAGTAGGTAAGAATGGAGGGGTCACGAAGAAAAGTAAGGCTTGAAACCTCAAAGTTCAGTTTTTCTGACCTGAGCAGTTCAATATCAGTATAGCCATATTTGACTTTGTAATCTCCAATTCGCCGAGTGCTTTCCTGTCCACGAATAGTTCCCACTTGCTTTATTTTTCCTGCATCCAAGCCTGCCAGATTGAAAACAAAAAAGGTTTAATTGACTTTGGGAAACCTGCAGGACTTCCTCTGCTTACACTGTCAGGAATGCGAAAAGAAATATCCACAGCTAGAGTGACTTGTAAGACAAAATGAGATGCCAAAGAATCATCAGGAGCCCAACACGGAGAAAAGGAAGAGCAGTTTGCTGTGTTCCAAGGGACACCTTTTCATCAATTGTTATCTGGGAAGGCGAGAGAAAGAGAGAGATGCACACAGCCCAATATGCACACTCTGAATGCAAGGGTTGGCCCTGAGGCAAGGCCCACATCCTGGTCCAAAGCCACCGGTAGCAGCTGGCCTCGGTGCACAGGCATTCACTGAAAAGGCAGGGGAACATCTGCTCCTGTCAGCTCTGGACTGTGCAATGGAAGGAGAAGGTAGGAAGGAGAAAAACATATGTGAAGGATTCTGCTTTTACTTCTGCCTCTTATTGATCCCTGCTCCTAAATTCTGCATTACAATTTCCCTCATACACTAGACTGCAGAGGGAGAAAAGGAGAACTATCTACAAGAGGCACTGAATTCTCTCAAGTGCTCAAACTGATGAGGGCTACTCCTAAAATAAAGACAACTACCAGACAAGTATTTATTTAAATAAATTTAAGGGGATATACTTCTGGCAGGGGCAAGGAAGGAATCCCATCTCAAAGAAGGTTCTAACAGGGACCATCTGGATGTGGCTACTATTTGAGGCAGGACTCAGAGCAGATGAGCCACTTACCTGGTCTGTTCTGGCAATTCCCCTTCCCTGGTTACACCTAGAGCTAACAGGCAAAAATGTTATTTTGAGGTTTTATCTAGGGATGACTGCCCTCAGTACAAGGTGAAGGCAGGGGTCCAACTGAAACTCTCCCTCTGAGTCAAACCAAGCCTCACTGCACAGATGGCTCCACACCTACCCCAGCAGTAAGACACAACTCTGCCATCTGCTGCAGACCAAAGCTGACTCACCAACATGGCCTGGCTCATTTGCCAGCTCCTAGCAGGGGCATATATGCTATCGACAGACACAAACACAGGGAGGCTTTCAGCTTGCCAGAGAGGTTGTGTCTAAATCACAGCAGCACTGCTGGAGCACTAAACAAGCTGCGATGTGCTGGGTGAAGAACCACAAAGGCATAAGACCTCCTCCTCCCTTCCCCCAGGAGAGATGTGACACAGGCACCATCATGACAAACACTATCTCCACTACCTCTTATCACTGCAGTTCAACCTAACCCTACAACAACCTGCTTTGGGCCCCCAAAACAGCCTGTACTCACTGGCTTGTTCCACAGGCTCTCCCTTCTGCTGGGACTGCCAGCAGGAGAGCCACTGCTGTGCCAGGTTCAAGTCAGTGATTCTACCAGACCCCTGTTCTGCTACAGACTGTAGCCAAATTCTGCATTTTTGGCAGTAGAAAGACAGTCAAAAGGTCTCTTTTCCTAGAGTCTTGTATTCAGTCTTCTCTTTCATGGCACATAACCCTACTGTAAGAATATAAGTAAAAGAGGAAATGAAAGAGAAATAGAACAAAGTAAGACCCAGCAGCAGAAAATTACCGCATCAACAGCCTCACCACATAAGAATGTATTTACCAGATGAACCTAATGAAGAAAGCAAAGTTCTTCTTTAAGAACTTTTCTGTACCTTTAAGATCTACTTAAAGGTACAGAACTTTCTCAAGAAGAATTTGGTACTAGCAATCACACAGGTGTTCTGGGCTAGTTCTAGACTAAGAAAGAAAGCATGTCAAATGCTACAAAGGAAAAGGAAAATTGCCTAAAGCAAAATGTCAGCATTAAGAGTTCAATAGTTACTGACGTGAGAGCAGTAAATGCCAGTGCTTGGCCTGCCTCTGTCTGAAGTGTAGCTCCCTTTTTTACAGCAGCTTGTACAAAGACATATTGAAACACATCATCCTGAGGGTGCGGCATCACACAGAACTTAACCCAGCATAACTGTGGTTTGCTTCCAAAGAAACAGTCAGATACTGTCCATCCCACTTCTGCCCTCCAGCTGTGTGCTTCCACTCCTGCCTTCCCATTGACTCCAGCAATCACACAGCTGGAGGGCAAATCAATGGCAGTTTGGCAGTCAGACTCAAAACTAACACTTGGGGGAAAAAAAAAAAAGCAGTTTTCTGCTGGTTCAGTGAGCTGAACTTACTCTGTAGCCTCACAATAACCAGATATGCAGAAAGAGAAGGTACTGAACTTGTCAACTGGAAACACAGTAAGCTTCTTTTTGTGGTCATTTATTGTTTCCAGTGGCTTGAATCATTCCTGGTTCCCCAGATAAACAGAGGGATGTGATGTTCTCAGATCAGAACAAGAAACCCAACACTCACCCAGCTGGGAGAAGCGAAAAAGTTCATCCTCATTCTCTGTCGTATGGTCCACGTTGAGCTGAGTCACCTGCAACCCATCCACCGTGGACTTGCATAGCAGTGCCCGATTGGTACCTGCAGTGGGAGCAGTGAGATGAGACACCAGATAGCTCTGCCATTAAGACTGAGAACATATCCACATGGAAAAGGAACGGGAGAAGGGAATAATGGCAGAAAAAGAAGAAAAGAAAAAAAAAAAAAAAGAGAAAGGCTCATGTACCTTCTCATCATTATCTTCAAAAAGTAGCCTTGCTAGCAGCATAGTAAGCCTGCTAGGCAGCTCTTCAATCAGGCCTGAGCCAGTACCTCACAAGAAAGCCCTCAACTTCTCAGTGAACCTGCACTACTGCCTCTCAACCCATTTTCCCCTCCATTCTCTGGTCATAACACATTGCATCAGCCAACATCTGTAGAGATAAAGAGCCAGGCTGATTTCAAATGCTCCTGTAAGTAACAAGCGTATCACCTCTTGGCCACAGAGCGAAGAAACTGTCCCCCACATTCAAATTTTCACTTCCCAGAATCACAGCCACCCTCAGAAACACCTAGACTGAGCTGCTGACAAAAACCAACTCACCCACATTGGCAATATAGAGCTTGTTGTTAAGAACAACAGCCACAATAGCCATGGCTCCTCCAGAGATCTCCTGCTCTACAACCTTCAGTCTCTCCACAATCTTCTGGTACTGAGGAGGCAGCTGGTGGTGAGGGATGCCCTGGAAGCCAAAATGAGGGAAACGCTGAAACACACAGTCCACAGTACAGAAACCACATCTGGAATCAAAATTCTGTAGGGAGGGGACTTGTCTTGGCATATCTTAGCCTCATGCCAAGCCTATGCAAGACCTAAAATTATTTGTTCAATCCTATCAAATGACATGCCTTCAACAGGTTCAGGAAACAACGGCCCTGTTCACCTGAAGAACAGGATCCACATCTGCCCAGATGCCATGCAAATTTGAGGCCTTGCCTCTCATCTGTGTCATATGGCTTTGTCCTGGAAGAGCCATACATACAGGCTAAACTCCTCTCCATGATACATTCAATTCCTTACTAAAATAACCAATGACGGGTCTTAGTAGTGCCAGCATGAACAGTGGGAACTCTGGAAAATGGACCAAGGTGTTTGCTTCACTTCATGCAAGCTCCCAAAAGACAGACTCAGAGAAATAATTTCAGTTACAGCCTCCCTTGGACCAGAATAACAAATGCCCATACCTCATCCAGCAGTCTGGATGGTGGGACCTCCAGCAATCTCTGTTCTTAAGGCTACATACCTCTGGTAGCTGGGACTGCAGGCTGGCCTTCTCTGCCAAGGCATCATCAATGGACTCCAGGAAACTTCTTTCCACCACGTCAAAAGCCTAAAAAAAGGCCATAAAGAGAAACAAAGCTTTTATCCAATGCCTACAGACCTTTAAGGCTGCCCATTCCCACCTCCTTAAGACTGGCTCATGAGGGTGGATGATCACTGTACATTCGAGGATCACTGCATCAACATTGAAATACAATTATTTCAGCGCAACTAGTTAACAGCTTGTAAAAACAATCTGCAACAACTCAAAACAGGAGACAAAAACACTGAAAACACGTTCACAGCAATGTCAGAGACCTACCCAATTTTGTGTGTTGATTGTAAGAACTTGCCTATCACTCAAGAAAACACACTCACAAATCCATCTCCCTACACATTAACTTTCCCCTTTTACCCACTGTCATCTCCTTGGCAGGCTGACTTGTTCCTACATGTCCAGTGCAGACTAGCTGCAGCTTTCTGGAGAGCTCTCAGCAGTGTGCTGAGAGAGCCAGAGGGACAGATGGATATGAGGTGGGAGTGAAACAAAGCCCCACAGCTGCTCAGGATGAGTGCAATTGCAACTCTTGGCAGATGTTTCCAACCCCCACAGAAACCAGATGCTGCTCTCTTGGTGGCAGAAAGAGGAGGTGGTTAGTGTGAGAAGCAGGAGCTGTTCCCAGCCAAAGCTTCTTTACCTGCAGCAGAACTCGACGCACATCAGCATCACTATGATCTGCATGTAGCTGGCCCAGCAGCAGCTCTGCAGAGAGCCTCTGTCCCACAAAGTTGGTGACTCGGTTACCATCGTAGCCGTTGAAGACACCATAGAGGTAGCAGTTGTTCTCGCTCCTGTCAAAGAGGACAAAAGCAAAGAGGTCACAGATGTCTGTGAAACACAGTAACAAGTTCCTCCAGACACCTCCTGCATGCTCAGGCCCCACCCTGGTCTTCCAAGTCCTGTGTGACAAACTAAATACTGCTTTCACCTGCCGTGGTGTTGGCAGGAGCTTGTGTCCCAGGTGCAACCCACTTACCTGAATTTTAACCAGTTGTCTTCCAAGGGGTGACCCTCTGTCCCCTTGCCATCTGCACTGTAGGAACGGTTTGGAGCTGAGCCAACCCCAGAGAGATGGCAGGATGGTAAATCATCTGTCCAACTGGGCTGCTGTTCCTGGGAGACAGAAAGAGCCAAGAGAATATATAAACCCCAAGCAGCCCAAAGTGCGAATCCTGGTCCAGTACAGGTTACAAATCCAGCCCCACCCTCTTCTCAACCCTTCCCCCTTTGATAACTGGGCAGCACACCACTCCAGCCAGCAACCTGGTATTCCCTGCTGCAAAACTGTATTACTTACCACTTCCTTTCCCTCTGACGTTGAGCTCTTGCTAACAAAAAATGAGAAGTGAGATTTGCACCTGAGTTTCACACTCCATACAGCACAGCACTATACTCAGCTATATATTTGGTGCACCAGACCTTCACACATTCATGGCAAGTACCCTGCTAGAGTGCACTCTCCCAGGACAAGGGGACTGGGGCCCTGCTGCTGGCAGACATCCCTGGGACCACCATCTCCTTGGCGTACACTGCCAGGTCAAACATACGCGTCGCTGGCTGCCGCCTTCCACAGCAGAGCACCCCCAACCCCGCAGCACAGGCACGGCCCCACAGCGCTGCACAGCGGCGGCCCAGCCCAGGCTGGTGATCAACTACCACGCAGGGCCCCCCCGCAAGCTGGAACCCCCTGCCCTCAGGCCGCACAGGGGTCTTGAAGGCAGCAGCCCGCCTCCCCACTAAGATGGGACGCTCCCCACCCTCGCCCCCTTTCCCACACGGCACCGCAGGGGGCAGACGAGAGGGAGGCCCGAGTACCCCCTCGCACCCACCTGGGGGGGTGCGTGTGCATGGAGGGGGGAAAGGTGCCACTCACACTCTGCAGCAGGCTCCTCCTCTGCGCCGCCATCTTGGAGC